GATGACTTAAGTATGTTGTGAATGACAATCGGCTGTTTCACATTTATCGTCACATGCACACACATTGTGCACCTAATCCAACCGAATTTTATAATCGCGTTTCGTTAAGCTCCGTATGATGTTACTTGGTTTGGTCCAGTTACAGGCACGGCATGCAGTTTCTCATATTCAATACTTGCCTACTTACACACCAATACAAGTTATTAGCTGCTAACTGTGCTTTTTCTGTGACCGTTTACAACGATGGTAAGTTGACCGTATTTTTTCTGAATTGAAAATAATACAAAATCTAGTCTGGGAAACCCAGAAAGTGTGCTTCTGTGAAATCGTGTACTTCCTGAAATATCCAGTATGAAATCGCAAAATCATGTGATATGTCTTTATTTCGTTGAGGAATTCTTCCAACCATGATGGTTTAAAATTTGCCTGGCAAAGTGATGCACGTATCGCACTATGCTTTCTCATACATGCAATTACGTTTAACTCACACATCCAGCGTGCATGCTTTTGCAAAATTAAAAAAAAGATACTGCTGGGCCATAAACTGTTACATTTTGCTCTTCACTGAAGTTTATCATCGGTTTGAGCTGTTTCTTTGTGTTGGTGACATCAGAGTGATTATACCAAATGGTAACGGAATGTGCGCGGAGAAAGAATAGCATTTTCACGTAAGCCTAACCTTTCATCCTGTCGCCCACTAGGTTTTACTCTCTATTCAACGAGAGGCAGGAGAATAGGTGACCATTTACGCCAAACGTCGTTTCAGTATAACCAACAACTGCGTTCTCGTCCTGTGAGACGAGAACTACCAATATCACAAGCAACGGTTCAGCATTGGGCGCACTAGTAGAAATGGAATACGTAATCCTCAGGCGTTCACACTTAGTGACTTCATCCGGCTTGTTCTAAAAAGCAATAAAATTCCAAAAATAAACCACGTCTGTATCCATCCATGCCTAATTGAATGAGCATACAATTTCTGAAGGGCCTCAATTTATTCGTGTGCTAATTTCTAGGCTCAGTCGATCCAGTTTGACAGTGTTCGAATTCATTTTGTGGTCAGTTTGATTGTACCTTCCGTTGCACAGCTTAGTATTAAAGATATCGCTGCAGTTGGTGATGATTTATGCTTGCATTGTAAAACCCGATTTTGGATCTTCCGGCATTTGTTCTCCTGCAAAAGGCGCAGACGGGATTTTTAATAATATCCATAGACCGTAGGCAAATCCCGTGGTTTATCTTGATTGTCGATTGTATGTGAACCTCTGAGTGAGTAGGAGCCTGGTCCATATGTTGTCCAAATAAGTAATTCTTTTAAACAGAACACTCAACGGAAAAATATAACGTCACACGGAAGAAAGAATGAAGTAGTGTCGAATTCCTAACATTATTATGGCTGAACTTTTTCCGGTGATATTCATTCATTAGTGTGAATCCTTTGATATCCCATCGCTTGGCTGAATGTGATGCGTAATTGCCGTATATTCATTTTACATTAATTTGAACAGTCATTGATCAGATCCAGGAAATTATGGTGAAAATTCAAATGTCCTTTGTAATAGATGACAGAAAACACATGACCACTTATAGTCGAACGGAAAATTGTGCATATTTGTGTGGAGAAATATGGGCTAGTGTGTAATATCCACACACGTTTTGATGGGGTTTCATTCTTGTTCGCTCTCTCTGAACATCTCCCTCCATGAAAATGATGTATTTGCATCAAATTAAGTGCTTCATTTATTTCTCTTGGTTCCAACAGGAGCCAAAATGTTGAGTTTGAACGACACTTTCCGTCGAACATGCTCGATAACCCGAACGAATAGCAAAACGTAATTCTCACTGGCTTATCTGAAGTGCATGGACAACAGTCTTCTTATTTTTGTCTGACGGTAAGGAACCAACATACGCGGTTGCTATCGGAAATCTCCTCATCGTTTACTGAAGCTAAATCTGATCAATAAATTTATTTTATGCCTTAAAGTTTTAGCACTTCAGTGCGCATCAGACCTAGCCGTTGGAAAAAACAAAACCATAAATCAGACTGAAATTTTTCTTCATCTTCCATAAGCTGGTAATAAGAAGTGTTTTCCCGTGTAGCTCAGATATAAGAACCTGGTTTACATTTCATGGCGGCGTAAATTCTCAAGTTGGGACAGGGATAAATTAACTTTTTTGTTGATTACTCCCCTAATATTCCTTACTACCTACCAGAGTCGCTGACACAGCTGCTCTAATAGAGAGTCATACATTCCTCTCACCAAAGTATCTAGTTTATTGCTGTCCACGCATCACTAATGCGTACCAATAAATAATAGCAAAATATACATATTTATTTCATCTGATGAGAATGAGGACTTTCACTGTTTGATTGCCCGAATAAGCTTCTGTTTGCTGACAAACTGTGTTTATCAAAATAAATAATACCACTATTCTGTACCAGAAACTAAGAAGGTAAAGAAAAATTTACTGCTCCGGATCTGCTAGTCCTGTTATAGGGCCCTAGAATCTGAACGTGAACAATGGTAATCTGAACACTCAACATTCCATAAATTCACTAGAACAGAAAAAAGACACAAGTCGCAAGAAGAATGCATTTCGTTTACTCTTGTCAAACCGCGAGCGTAAATCATGTCAGTGTATACATACGTGGTACAGTAGGGGGGTAAATGCAACAGTGAAATAGGTACAATAGAAAGTTTAACAGTACGTAATTTGGACAGAGTGAAGTCTGTCGTGTTACCGCCGAAGTAGACACATAGTTCGGGCCAATCGTTTTTGTGCGCACAGTGCTGCCTGATGCATCATGATTGGAGTCGCTTCACCAAAAGCTATTTGTTTTGACGTTGGATTGCACCACAATGCTTTGAAACACTGGGTCAGGTCAACTTTGTGACCTGATGCAGTTAAGTGTCTTGCAGTCAAAAAAGCTGGTGACTTCATGGGGTTTTGTATTGCGCCAGCGAGTTGCGTCATCAAGTCTGACAGCCATTTGGGTATGTGTTCTGACACTCGTTGAGTCAAGCAGCTATCCATCCTGCCAATGTCACGTCACCGCAATGGCAAGTGAACTGGTAGACAATATGTGAGACACTGAAATAAGCAGAGACTGTTTGAGTGATTTTGAAAACATAACCTGTTGGTCGACTACAGCTTTACATGTGTGTGCCTTGGAGCCGATTTAAGATTACAGTTTATTTGAAAAAATAAATGGCCGGCTTAGAAAAGCAAAGTGGCATAGCTTGCTCCTTTCCGAAGTTCATTGTTTTTTTGCGCACCAGTCTCGGCTGCTGATGTAGTTTGATAAAGCTTTTCTGATAACCATTGGACAGCAGCTTTCCTTTTATGAACTCCTCTTAGTTTTGTGCTTGATCTATCCAGACTTTCTGGGCTTTGTTGAAGAGGGTTCTGGCCCATCCACGTTTGTAATCCACCGGAGCGAAGCTGGAGAATCGTAAATAACGTCTGCCTCAAGTTGATTTTGATGGATTCTGCGCTGTAGAATCCCGTCTTGACGCCTAGTTAAGTAAATATCTAGAGAGAACAACGTGTTATCGCATACTTCTTTCTAAAATACACTAAGCTTTATATGAATACAGTTAGGAACGGTAACGAATGGGATAAAATTGTCTTCAATCGTAAGAATCCAAATATCATTCACATATCATCTACGAAATAGCAATTTGAATATATTATCACTGAGCTGTTTTTCACTCGTACCCAAGAATACATCTGTCAAAGTTGGGCCCCTTTATATTTTCATGACCACGCCACCAGTTTATCTGTAGGCCCAACCTTCAAAATAAACCGGATGCTTTTTGTGCATAAAAGAACGATATCATTAAGGCATTTACCAGGACTAAGCAAATGAAAGTTGTGCGAAGAAATAAAATCACACAGATAATCTACTGTCTCATGAAGAGGGACCCTTGTAAAAGGTGATTCACTATCGACGGAATAAATTATTTCCGAACCCACTGAAATACTATTTGCAAAATCTCGAGTTCAAATGAGTCTTGTAGACAGAATGATGTTATGTGTTTCCAAAGGGGGGTAAGAATCTCGACGAGCCACGGGGCAAGGTATTGATAAGCTGAGTTTCGCATGCATACTATCACCCTCAAAGGAACACGGGGCCTGTGCACTTTGGGTGATCCTCTCAGGTAGGGCCTCTGTCTTCCAAGTGGTGTTAGCTTCTTGTATGTAGTTTCGGAAATGAAACCGTGTAGGAGCAAAATTTGTAATTGTCTTGTTTTCTGTTTCTCGGTCAGCATATTATTCTCTGAAGAATTGTCCGGTTTGAAAAGTTGCGCATCGGGAAGCGTCCTTTACATTTTCTCCGTGTATCCTGTCTTTTCTCCAATAACGATGCCTGATCCTTTCTTCGGTCGTAGAATTGCTTGCATCTCACGACTTATGTCTTCTCTCTGTCATAGTGAATTGGACTAGCGGGACCGAATATATTTCAAATTTTCCCTAATTTTCTGAGCTCGGTAAGAGCGCATATAAGCAGTCCCATATTTATTCCTAATGGAAAATTTATCAGAAAGAACATATCATTGAGTAGAATAAAATAAACATAACAGGATCAAAAACAAAAGTGCACGTCATCACCATTTATCTAGGCGGCATTTAGGGGTTACTTTGCAACTGTATATCTCATGCAGCTCATTTAACTACAAAAATGTAACTTATGTGGAATAGAACAGAGTGGACCACCTTTGCCTCCAAATATACCGAAAACATCTGCTTTGATGTAGTCCTATCGAACCTACTGATCCTCGATTGAACGTGTATCCTAAAACAGAAAAAAACTGGAGATTGGCACTGATTTTCACCAACTTGATTGGTGGATATGTTCCATTCAGAATCGGGTCTTCAAATCGGCCAATCAACGAAAGTGAAGAACGGTTAGTAGGACAAACATGAGATTGACATGACAACTTTTCTAAGCCAATAGAACCACACGTGAGTTCACTATAAAAGTGTGCGAATACGTAATGCAAGACGAACAAAATGAAATTCATCATTTTCTTGATTGTGATACTGTGCGTGCTGCGCTCACAGCAGGCAGGTGAGTGGGTGACACTCAAGTTGGTTATGCGTACTTGATGACCTACAGCAGCAAACGGAATAGAATAGGTATACAATATTATTCATATACATCCGTACCATACCTAATCAGTGGGTTATTTTTAGTGGTTTGATATATTCGCGGGTTCGGTTAAAAGGACGCCGCAAAGTTACAAAGATTTCAGGTTTTGTTGTTTGCGCTAAATCAGTTTTTCTCGTTACGCTCAGTGGTACTAGGATGTGGTGAGGGGCACATTTACAAAATATCTTAGTTAAAGATTCTCCCCTTCTCAAACTGTTGAGTAAACAGCGCTAAATATATATTTCACTTATTCAAAAATGTACCACTGAATATTTAGCACCAGCTGTTATTGTCGAGCAGTTTGCCAGCTTCTGAAAATAGAAATCGTAGTTTGATGGTATTAAGATAATCATAATTAAAATATTAGAAATAACAGTTACGATGAGATTATTTTAAAATAAACTATTTATTTAAGGTGACCTGAGGCAGTTGGCAATGCGTAGAATGTGAAAAATCATCAAAACGTAGATTTTAGTAATTGACAGACGAAGTAACAGCATCATGTGCAGCGCTGATCTACGGTGAGAGAGAATACTTCGAAACAATATATCAATAGGAACGTAAATATTGATCTTGTTTTAACTTGATGCATAGAGTTATACGACGGTTACGTTATACAGTCGATCAGTATAGAAGAATCTGCCATAAAAAGCCCAAATGGGACGAATGCAAGAAACTCATCCGAATGAAACCAAATACCAAAAAGCGTGCACCATGACGAGCAAAAATATTGGGGCTAAAGAAAGCGTAAAAAACATATGGCGGTCAAACGGTGTAAAACTGAAAATGTTCACCATGTCGGAAAAATCGTTCTCGGTTGCAGATCCAGAGTAAAAAGATGAGGTGACCTGTGTCATTGATCATGCTGCGGATAGGTCTTCTTCAATTGTTTCACATGATGCACTTCACAAAGGGTTTGAAACAATGAGGGTAATGCCGCTGTGTTCTCGTCCCAAATTTATCCGTCTTTTTGCCGCAACAACAAGCGTTTTGCATGTGAATACTCAACTGTGCGCATTAGATAAAAAAGTTTCGAAATAGGTGCATTTAGCAAAAATGATTCGCCAATCCAGAAAAACACGACACGGATGGAAATGGGACACGAAAATGACAGGAGAATAAAGGGACCTGGAAAAACTCAGACAGCGCAAAAGCAAATGAAAAAACACAAGAGCAAAAAGGAAATACAAAGGATATATCAAGAACGTGAAAGCATAGGAGAAATAAAGAAGAAAAAAAAGAAAAAAGTAAGGAAAGAAAAAAACGAATCCGGCTGAAATAAAAAACAAACAAGAAGAAGAAAACGGTTATTAAGTATGAAATAACACAAGATTAAAAAACGCAAACGCTGAATAATGTTCATTATCAAATTAATTTGATTGCAGAATCCCAGCAAAAGCCGGAGGAAGAAGGTGAGCTGTGATTGATCATGTTGCAGTTTGGTCTTGTTCATTCATTCTTCATGATTCACTTCACGGATCGTGTGGTACAAGAAAGATTACGCTGCTGTGTTCTCGTCCCAATTCGATTTGTCTGTTTGCCACAACAAGCAATTTGCATTTGGCAATTCCACTGTGCAGTAGACGAACGGTTTCCCATTTCATTTCTCTTTATCGACACTTATTTGCTAACGCAGATAAACACCATGCGGTTGGATATTCGAATTGAAAATGACACACGAATTTTGGGCACTGAAAATTAGTCTCTCGAATGTTCCCATCAGATAGATCTAAGTACTCGAATGATTTGATGATCATCAACAACAAAACGAAAAACACAAATCAAACGTATGTCATCTAGCGAACTATTCCAACTGAACTGTGCAATTCAGTTATCTGACCAATAGTACATTCATTTATATGTTACCCATCAAATGATTCAATATACAATATGAATGCTCAACTGACCAACGAACAGTATATGAGCACTGTTTACACGTGTTTCATCTCACTCACTTGTTCACAATTAGAACAAGTGCATATTGACCGACTTCTAACTTGCATCCGAACACGAATTGAACGATTGTCAGTCTGATAGACCTAATCCACGTGAACGAATCATGAATGAACAAGAACTCATAATGATCCATGTGATTGATTATCCAGTCCCAATTGAGAATGGATAAATATGGACTGCTGATTGCTCACAACGGTCCACATGAAACCAATTTGTACTCATTTCACCTGAACATATTTCGAAACGAGCTACAGAAAATGAGAAAGCGCAAAAGCCACACCTGTTTCACAATGGAACAAACAAACGAACAAAGCATACTGAATTGTTCACTTTCCCCATCTAGTCGCATTTGGGCACAATTGTTTTCACAATTCGAATGTGGCAGTCGACAGGCGAGAAACGAATCTGTGTCATTTTATTAAATACTCTCAGTCCAATCAAATACGAAGGTTATTATTATATGATTGTTCTCATGCGATTGGATACCTCAATCAGTGTACATTGTTCGTTTCTCATCTTTCTTGATTGTAGAATCCAAGCAAAAGCCGGAGGGAGAAGGTGAGCTGTGATTGATCATGTTGCAGTTTGGTCTTGTTCATTCATTCTTCATGATTCACTTCACGGATCGTGTGGTACAAGAAAGATTACGCTGCTGTGTTCTCGTCCCAATTCGATTTGTCTGTTTGCCACAACAAGCAATTTGCATTTGGCAATTCCACTGTGCAGTAGACGAACGGTTTCCCATTTCATTTCTCTTTATCGACACTTATTTGCTAACGCAGATAAACACCATGCGGTTGGATATTCGAATTGAAAATGACACACGAATTTTGGGCACTGAAAATTAGTCTCTCGAATGTTCCCATCAGATAGATCTAAGTACTCGAATGATTTGATGATCATCAACAACAAAACGAAAAACACAAATCAAACGTATGTTATCTAGCGAACTATTCCAACTGAACTGTGCAATTCAGTTATCTGACCAATAGTACATTCATTTATATGTTACCCATCAAATGATTCAATATACAATATGAATGCTCAACTGACCAACGAACAGTATATGAGCACTGTTTACACGTGTTTCATCTCACTCACTTGTTCACAATTAGAACAAGTGCATATTGACCGACTTCTAACTTGCATCCGAACACGAATTGAACGATTGTCAGTCTGATAGACCTAATCCACGTGAACGAATCATGAATGAACAAGAACTCATAATGATCCATGTGATTGATTATCCAGTCCCAATTGAGAATGGATAAATATGGACTGCTGATTGCTCACAACGGTCCACATGAAACCAATTTGTACTCATTTCACCTGAACATATTTCGAAACGAGCTACAGAAAATGAGAAAGCGCAAAAGCCACACCTGTTTCACAATGGAACAAACAAACGAACAAAGCATACTGAATTGTTCACTTTCCCCATCTAGTCTCATTTGGGCACAACTGTTTTCACAATTCGAATGTGGCAGTCGACAGGCGAGAAACGAATCTGTGTCATTTTATTAAATACCCTCAGTCCAATCAAATACGAAGGTTATTATTATATGATTGTTCTCATGCGATTGGATACCTCAATCAGTGTACATTGCTCGTTTCTCAACTTTCTTGATTGTAGAATCCAAGCAAAAGCCGGAGGGAGAAGGTGAGCTGTGATTGATCATGTTGCAGTTTGGTCTTGTTCATTCATTCTTCATGATTCACTTCACGGATCGTGTGGTACAAGAAAGATTACGCTGCTGTGTTCTCGTCCCAATTCGATTTGTCTGTTTGCCACAACAAGCAATTTGCATTTGGCAATTCCACTGTGCAGTAGACGAACGGTTTCCCATTTCATTTCTCTTTATCGACACTTATTTGCTAACGCAGATAAACACCATGCGGTTGGATATTCAAATTGAAAATGACACACGAATTTTGGGCACTGAAAATTAGTCTCTCGAATGTTCCCATCAGATAGATCTAAGTACTCGAATGATTTGATGATCATCAACAACAAAACGAAAAACACAAATCAAACGTATGTTATCTAGCAAACTATTCCAACTGAACTGTGCAATTCAGTTATCTGACCAATAGTACATTCATTTATATGTTACCCATCAAATGATTCAATATACAATATGAATGCTCAACTGACCAACGAACAGTATATGAGCACTGTTTACACGTGTTTCATCTCACTCACTTGTTCACAATTAGAACAAGTGCATATTGACCGACTTCTAACTTGCATCCGAACACGAATTGAACGATTGTCAGTCTGATAGACCTAATCCACGTGAACGAATCATGAATGAACAAGAACTCATAATGATCCATGTGATTGATTATCCAGTCCCAATTGAGAATGGATAAATATGGTCTGCTGATTGCTCACAACGGTCCACATGAAACCAATTTGTACTCATTTCACCTGAACATATTTCGAAACGAGCTACAGAAAATGAGAAAGCGCAAAAGCCACACCTGTTTCACAATGGAACAAACAAACGAACAAAGCATACTGAATTGTTCACTTTCCCCATCTAGTCGCATTTGGGCACAATTGTTTTCACAATTCGAATGTGGCAGTCGACAGGCGAGAAACGAATCTGTGTCATTTTATTAAATACCCTCAGTCCAATCAAATACGAAGGTTATTATTATATGATTGTTCTCATGCGATTGGATACCTCAATCAGTGTACATTGCTCGTTTCTCATCTTTCTTGATTGTAGAATCCAAGCAAAAGCCGGAGGGAGAAGGTGAGCTGTGATTGATCATGTTGCAGTTTGGTCTTGTTCATTCATTCTTCATGATTCACTTCACGGATCGTGTGGTACAAGAAAGATTACGCTGCTGTGTTCTCGTCCCAATTCGATTTGTCTGTTTGCCACAACAAGCAATTTGCATTTGGCAATTCCACTGTGCAGTAGACGAACGGTTTCCCATTTCATTTCTCTTTATCGACACTTATTTGCTAACGCAGATAAACACCATGCGGTTGGATATTCAAATTGAAAATGACACACGAATTTTGGGCACTGAAAATTAGTCTCTCGAATGTTCCCATCAGATAGATCTAAGTACTCGAATGATTTGATGATCATCAACAACAAAACGAAAAACACAAATCAAACGTATGTTATCTAGCAAACTATTCCAACTGAACTGTGCAATTCAGTTATCTGACCAATAGTACATTCATTTATATGTTACCCATCAAATGATTCAATATACAATATGAATGCTCAACTGACCAACGAACAGTATATGAGCACTGTTTACACGTGTTTCATCTCACTCACTTGTTCACAATTAGAACAAGTGCATATTGACCGACTTCTAACTTGCATCCGAACACGAATTGAACGATTGTCAGTCTGATAGACCTAATCCACGTGAACGAATCATGAATGAACAAGAACTCATAATGATCCATGTGATTGATTATCCAGTCCCAATTGAGAATGGATAAATATGGACTGCTGATTGCTCACAACGGTCCACATGAAACCAATTTGTACTCATTTCACCTGAACATATTTCGAAACGAGCTACAGAAAATTAGAAAGCGCAAAAGCCACACCTGTTTCACAATGGAACAAACAAACGAACAAAGCATACTGAATTGTTCACTTTCCCCATCTAGTCGCATTTGGGCACAATTGTTTTCACAATTCGAATGTGGCAGTCGACAGGCGAGAAACGAATCTGTGTCATTTTATTAAATACTCTCAGTCCAATCAAATACGAAGGTTATTATTATATGATTGTTCTCATGCGATTGGATACCTCAATCAGTGTACATTGCTCGTTTCTCATCTTTCTTGATTGTAGAATCCAAGCAAAAGCCGGAGGGAGAAGGTGAGCTGTGATTGATCATGTTGCAGTTTGGTCTTGTTCATTCATTCTTCATGATTCACTTCACGGATCGTGTGGTACAAGAAAGATTACGCTGCTGTGTTCTCGTCCCAATTCGATTTGTCTGTTTGCCACAACAAGCAATTTGCATTTGGCAATTCCACTGTGCAGTAGACGAACGGTTTCCCATTTCATTTCTCTTTATCGACACTTATTTGCTAACGCAGATAAACACCATGCGGTTGGATATTCGAATTGAAAATGACACACGAATTTTGGGCACTGAAAATTAGTCTCTCAAATGTTCCCATCAGATAGATCTAAGTACTCGAATGATTTGATGATCATCAACAACAAAACGAAAAACACAAATCAAACGTATGTTATCTAGCGAACTATTCCAACTGAACTGTGCAATTCAGTTATCTGACCAATAGTACATTCATTTATATGTTACCCATCAAATGATTCAATATACAATATGAATGCTCAACTGACCAACGAACAGTATATGAGCACTGTTTACACGTGTTTCATCTCACTCACTTGTTCACAATTAGAACAAGTGCATATTGACCGACTTCTAACTTGCATC